ATGTGCGTGATCTAAGAGATCTAAGCGTGTAATATGAGAGCTTTGTTGCGCACGATATGAGAGCTTTGATTTGTAATAGGCTTTAGTATTTTGATGATAACTTGAGCTATAGACCTCGAATTTGGATGATTCTTAGACCATCGGAAAGCTAACTCGAAAGGCTACCTTGTGTTTATCACATCGCCTAATTTAGACTTTATCATGCTCAAATTTTCACATCTGGTGTTGCGATTAGTTGAGACTTGCTGGATAAACATGGAAAGTTGATCTAAAATGAGGCACTCTTTCTAGCGCCAAACTGTTGATGTGTGATTTTGACACCAATGACCCGCACGTGCAAAGTGCTAAGCTGTTTTTAGAAATTACACGTGATATGATTGTGACATTTGTTTATGATGCTGAGATGATATATGTTTGAGGAAACATAAATAAAAATAAAAAATTGACAAGAGGGATTTTTATAGTGGTTCGAATGTTTAAAGCGAATCCTACATCCACTGTTGACTATTTTTCTGATACTGCCTGTAAGGCATACAAAAATGAAGAAATACTTTGTTTATAGAGAAAAATAATGAAGCTCAAAATTTTGCCCAGCTCTCATATGCCAAATCCTCTCCCCCCCCCCCCCCCCCCCCCCCCCCCCCCCCCCCTTTTTTTTGAAGAGAGCTGTCCATTTATACCTGTGAAGTCAATGTAATGAGTGCTTTTGCAAGTTGTCATGCACGTGAGGACCACTCCTTAATCCTTATCCTTTATTTTGATAAAGTTGGGACAAAATTGATATAAATTATCTCTTTGAGGCGGTTTGGGTTTTGACAGCTAATACCACTTTGTCTTTGAGTGCTTGTTGTTAGTATATATTAGTGTATGCCCTAGAAACCATTCGTATTGTCGGTTTCAGAGCATTTTGTCTTGTATCAATATATCATAAATAATAGAAGAAAGAGTTCTTCAATTCATATATATAAATTGCTTCCTTTATTCAGTCATGCATTTAAAATAAAGTATGTATATGAAATTCATATATATAAATTGCTTCCTTTATTCAGTCATGCATTTAAAATAAAGTATGTATATGAATTGTCCAGATGATTCATTTAATCGGTAAATGAATTATCAAAAGGGTTCCCTAAGGAAGCAATATAATTTGGCCAACTATATTGCATAGTAGGCATACTAGATGCTTCCGAAAGATATCATAAGTTGATATAAGTATGGATGACGATGATAGTCATGTCACTGGGGCATTGGTATGGATTAGCGGTTGGTGAATTGTTTTTCGAACGTGATCGAATAACGACAAATCATTTGGAAAAACATGTAGTCAATGATTTATTGTTTGGTTATATCAGTGCACGATGTAGTCCTTTGACCTGAGATATTGTGGTTAGATCTGATACGGATGCGTATGGTTCATACGGTGTATAATTACGAGACTAGTCATGTTTTGTATGATAAAGCCTATTCGGTTATGCGTTGTTCATATGCGGAAGCGAACGATGGTCAAAAAGGGATCCATTGACTCGAAAATATAGGATCAAGAGTACCGCTGACTCCATCTGGATTCGAGTTCCTGGACGAACGTCGATAAATGTCAGAAATAAGAATCTTTGGCCAGAGTCTATTATTAGTCATACGAAAGCAAGTTCGTGATGACGAGTTCCAGACATATTGACCGATGATTCGGTAGAAGATCGAGTTTAGGATTTTGACGTTCCATGAATCCATACTCGATCAGGATATATCAATGGAAGGACTTTACCTGCATGATACATATGATCTAAAATGGGTTCGATGAAGTATTTCTTCATCGTGGTTTAGGGACTATGGCACATTGCTAGATGTTTACCATAGTCGTTGGGCCTCCGGACAGGTTTTAGGATTCATCCAGAACCAGCTCATGGCTAATCCATGGTGGACCTACATGGTCACACCAATAGCCTTGAGAAGTTAGAGGAGAATAAGAGAAAGAAATGATTATCCGAAGAGGGCTAGCACCTTCCGAGGGTAATGACGGGATTTCTATGGTAATAGTTACATAGAAAATTATTTGTGATATTTTAAGGGTTAAAATGGTCAAGAAATAATTAATTGTATTTAATTATTATATTTTAAAGCGTTAAGATAAATGAGATTAACTAAAATAACATTTTAATAGTTAAAGGGCAAAAGAGGAAACTTGTGGGTTATTAATGTAAACTAGTTTAGTTTACACAGGCCCTTGAATAATATTGATTGTTCAAAGGGTAAAATAATAAATACTTAGGCTCCTTTTAAAATAAGGTTTTATTGGGGCATAGAAGTGAAAAACAACTAATTACAAAATAGCCCATGTATATATAAATGCAAATGGTTGCATTTAAAAAAAAGGGATTCATTTTTTTCACTCAAAAAGAAAATCAATCTCTCTCTCTTAGGGTTTGGCCACTCTCTCACTCTCTCAAGGTGGTGTTAAAGTGTGGAGGATTCATTCCTTTGAATCTTGGCTTCATCAACCTTAAGCAAAGGAGAAGGTATAATGTTTTCAAGCTTTGTTTGAAATTTCTTTTTTGAATCCCATTAATCGAACCCTTTCATGCTTTCAATCTACATTTTCCACCACCTCTTCATGTTATTCTTTTCACTTGTTAAGCTCTAATTGGTGTTGACATCAGTGTGTATTTTTGGCACAAAAAAGATAAACTCTAAATTCATATTTGCTGAAATTAGACAAAGTAATATCACGTAGTCAATGCCATTAAACATACACAAAAAATGTGCTTTAAAATTTTGTTTAGTATGAGCATATACATATATATGGTTCATGAACATATTGTCACATATAAATCTAATGCTTGTTTGTATATGATTTTTACTTCGACCTCAACTACTACCACATCAAAATTTGTATTCTTTAATAGTAAGGATGAATATGCTGGTTTTTTTTCACTTTCAGTATTAACTTATAATTGTGCATGCAAAATATATTCAACCTACTAATGCTTGTTTGTTTACAATTTTTACTTCAACAGGTGGGACCTCAATTACTATCTATCAAATCACAATATGTGTTAGACCGGTCATCACGGTCACAAAATTAAACCTAAATACCGTAGTTAGCGGTAAGCAGGGTCGAATCCACAGAGAGCAAGACTAACGACCTAATGTATATTTGAGTTAACGAAAGAGAAATTGGCAAAATGATTGATTAAAACTAAGGAAACTAATTACTTGCTAAGAAATTAAAAGCATTAAATAAATTGCTAACTAAAACACAATATTAAAAGCGTTGTCGCTACGGGTTCGGTTTGACTCAAGACCAACTCTCACAATTCCTCTCCTCGCTCTTCAATTTCCTAATCCTACAAGGCTAGGCAAATCAATAGAAATATCTCCCGGCAATCTAGGCATAATCTATCCTGTCTCCCCGTCGTCTTAGTTACAGATCGATTGGTTAAAGACTATCATTGACTAACCGAAAAATGCTAAACCCTTAAACACCACTAGTTGGTACAACGTTAACAAGTACAACCTATCAACCTGTATCATCCAATCAACTAATTACACAATAAATGCATTCCTAGTAGAGATGACATTAAACGCTACTACAACTTGATTGCAATCAGTACCGAAGCAATTTAAAGTCATAATCAACATTCAATAATCTCAAACCGACATTCAATTATGCGAAAAGTTATATATCAATAAACGTTCTCAATGGACATTATCAATTCAACACGTCGAGTATCAGAATAATATTAAAGTATCGCAAACAAACTGAAACGAAAACAAATATAATCTGAATACAAGAAACTTAACCAAATATCCAACATTCGGGCTCATCCAACTAGTCGAGAGCTGATGAGGAGATCAATGGAGTCAATCTCGATCTCGCCTACACCGTAATAGACAACCGAGAACTCAGCTGCTCATGGTGGTGACGACGGAGGTTGAAACAGTGGAAACGGAGCTGATCATGGTGGAGAGGAGGTAACCGACAGCGATATGATGCGAAGAAGGGGCGAAAATGACCAACGGACAACCCGAAATACGAACAGCCGCACTCGCCAGAAAAAGTTAATTTTCTGGCGGGTCTTCCGGAAAACGGTGGCAGAAATGGGATCCGAAGGTACCGATGGAAAGCTCTGGTGATGGGGAGTTCAGATCAGGTCCTGGGGAGGTGAGAAGTCGCCGAAAATGAGCAGGATCTGGGCTGGAAGATAAAGAGGCGCGGCAGCAAAATCGCGGATTCTGGTGGTTTTCGTGGCGGCTGAAGCAAGAGAAGTGTAGATCCGGTCGTGGGGAATGAAGATCAAGTCTTGGGGAGCCGAATTGTCGCCGAAAAACGGCGAAAACTCGCCTGGAAGACGAAAAGTCGCGGTGGTTGGAAGACGAAACGTCGCGGCAGCCCTTGGTTCGCGGTGGTGGCTTGTGGTGGAGGCTCGCCGGCGAAAGGTGAAGGGTCGCCAGCCTGGAAGATGAAACGTCGTCGGCCGGCGACCAAATTCCGGTGGGAGGCTAGGGTTTTTGTTTGGGTTTACGCGCGCGTCCTCTTTTCACGATGGTCACCTGGAAATTTATACCCATTGCGGCAAATATCCATTTGGTCCCTGCATATTAATATCATCTCACACCATTTCCAAATTCATCCCAAATATGCTAAATTAATAAGAAAAACTGAAAATATGATTTTTATAAATAAATTCATAATTTCTCTTAATTGTCTCAATATAACTTCAATTCAATTACATATGGGATCTTTTTATCAACAAAATAAAGTCACTTTTATGACTCTAACAATATGGTTTTTGATCTATTGAATCATTCTGCACTATGTACTTCTTCATTAATGGTGACAATGAACATGTTGGCTATTCTTAGTAATTCAAGTTATATATATATATATATATATATATATATATATAGCAGTTCATGTTTGTCTGTTTTCAATTTTTATTTTGGCAGGTGGGACCTCAACTACTATTCAAATCAAAGTATGGTTTTTGATCCAATAAATCATACTGCATCAATTACCTCTTCAATGGTGAGTATTCACGACTCATAGTATTTTTTAAATCAACTTATGTATGGATGTAGTACATGAATAACAGATTCATAGTGGACTAATGCTTATTTGTTGATATTTCTCATTCATAGCAGGTAGAATCTCAACTACTATCAAATCAGAATTTGGTTTCTAATTATTCAAGAAATCATTTGTGCCAAACACTTCTTCCATGGTATGAGGATGAACATGCTCCCTTATGATAGTTTTTAGTATTAACTTTGTTGAAGATCATGAAGGCAGCGTGAAGAGAAAACATATTTGGGGAAAAACATTCTTGGTTATTATTTCATTGAACGAAGTTTATATACATTTGACCAAATTACTCTAGTTAACAACTAACTAGATTTATTATTACAGCCACTAACCAACTAACAAAACTAACTAGCAAGTTGCTCTGCTGAAGGAATATAAGCAGTGCGAATGAGACCAATTTTAAGTCGCTCTCGGACAATATGGCAGTCAATGTCAATATGCTTAGTCCTCTCATGGAACATGGGATTGAAATTAGTGTGATTGGCTGCTTGGTTATCACAATGAAGAGTAACAGGTAACAACTTGGAGAAACCAAGTTCTTTGAGAAGTTGCACTAACCTAATAACCTCATAGATTGTTAAAGCCATAGTTCGGTATTCTGCCTCAGAAGAGGACTCTTAGATTTCCTGGAAATAAAAAAAGAACCAAGGAAAATATAGTAACCAGTAACTAACTTCCTTGTCATGAGACAAAAAGCCCAATCAGAATCACTGTAAGCTAATAAAGACACAAAATTGGCAGTAGAGAAATATAAACCCAAACCTTGAGTAGACTTTACATACTTCACCACTATAAGGGCAGTAGCCATATGAGATTGCTTAGGCGTATGCATAAACTAACTCAAGAGATTGACTGAGTAACTCAGGTTAGGTTGAGTCATGCATAGATATAATAGTTTGCCACCAATCTTTGATAAACACTAGGGTCAGGAATAAAAGAATCATGGCCAGTAGGGAAAAGCTCATCATAAGCAGAAGAAGTTAACTTCAAATTGGAGTCCACAGGTACAATAGAAGGCTTGGAACCAAAGAGGCCTAATTCTGAAATGAGCTCCAAAGCATACTTCCTTTGACAAACGCTGAACCCTTTAGATGATCTAGCCATCTCAAACCCCAAAAAATATTCCAACAACCCTTGGTCTTTTAGCCAAAAATGAGAGTGTAGCAGCTGCTTTGTGTGATGAATCATGGCAAAATTATTTCCAATGATGACAATATCATCCACATAAACCAATAACATGACAATATAAGACTGATCTTTTCTAATAAACAAAGAGTAATTAGACTTAGATTGTTGGAAACCTCCATCCAAAAGAGCTATGGTAAGTTTATGATTCTAGGCTCTAGAAGCTTGTTTCAAACCATAAAGAGATTTATGAAGTTTGCAAACAATATCTTGCCCCCCTTGCTACCCCTACTTATTAAACCCCTAAGGTAAGGTCATATAGATCTCTTCCTACAAATCACCATGTAAGAATGCATTATCTACATCCATTTGATAAAGGGGCAAATTGTGCATGGAGGCTAAAGTCAAAATGGTTCTAATAGTGACCATTTTGATGACAGGGGAGAATGTCTCGGTATAGTCAATTCCTGCTTACCGGGTATATCCTTTGGCAACTTAACATGCCTTGTATCTGTCCAAAGAAGCATTAGCTTTGTATTTAAGTTTATAAACCCATTTACAACCTATGGGAATCTTTCCCAGAGGCAATGATACTAAGGACCAAGTGTGATTTAGCTCTAAAGCTTGTATTTCCTTTTGGATGGTAGCCACCCAATGCTAGTCCTTAGAGGCTTGAGAAAAGCTAGTTGGTTCAAATGCGAGGTTAGACAGAAAAGCTTTATAGGAAGGTGAGACAGTATCATATGAAACAAAATTGGAAATGGGATATTGAATAAGGTTAGCTGAAGAAGAATGAGAAATTGAGGGACATGTAAAGTCTGAAGTCAAAACAGGGGGTTTAGTAGGTCTATTGGATCTCTTTAGAGAAAGAGTAGAAGCAATCGGATCAAGAGAAGAGGGTGTCGAAATAGGCTGAGCAAAAGAAGAAATATTGGGAGATGTTGGTGGTATTGTAGAGACAGAAGAGTTTGGAGTCTGGACAGCTGGTAAAACATCATCTGAAGTGGGAATAGAAGGTGGCTGATCTGAATCTAATTCAAGGAAATTAGAGTCAATAGGAAAAGGAACTTGTGAAGGTTTATGCCAAGTGAAAGGGAATATGTTTTCATAAAAAATAACATCCCTTGTGATTCTCACAAAATGAGAAGAAAGGTTATAAAGTATAACCCTTTTTAGGTTAAAGAATAACCCAAAAAAACAGAAGGGACAGATCTAGGGGACAACTTATCCTTAGAAGGTAAAAAGGTTGCATATGCCAAGGAGCCAAATACCTTTAAATGATCCAATGAAGAAGGTTTTGCAAAAAAAATTTCAAAAGGTGATAAACCTTTAAGAACTGATGTGGGAAATCTATTAATAAGATAAACAACAATTTGCACACAACAAGCCCAAAAATGAGTAGGAATATGAGACTGAAATTTTAAGGCCCTAGCAATTTCGAAATGTGCATATGTTTCCTCTTAATAATGCCATTTTGTTGAGGAGAATAAGCACAAGAACTTTGGTGAATGATACCCTTGCTTCATAGCATATCATGACAACTCTTATTAAAAAACTCTAGACCATTATCGGTCCTAATGCACTTTGGAGTTAATTGATACTGTGTGTTGACCATTTGAAGAAACTATTTGATGGTGTGAAAAGTATCAGATTTAAACTGCATGAGGAATAACCAAGTGACCCTAGAATGATCATATACTATGGTAAGGAAGTACCTAGCATTACCATGAGTTGGTGTCTTATATGGACCCCAAACATCCAAGTGCAACAAATGAAAAATATGTTGAGATTGTGAACTACTATGAGGAAAAGAGAGTCTAGTCTATTTTGGTAAAGGACAAACAGTACAATGAGGAGGATGAGAAATATTCAATTTATGTGCATAAGTTGCAACACAGAATATGGGACATGACCTAATCTTTGATGCCACAATTCAAGACTAGTAGATGTAGACGCTACCATAATAGAAACGTGAACTTTATTCAATTGTAAAACATAATTTACATTGTTTTGAGAATATGAAAAATTGCAAACAACCTTATTTAACATTCCAAAATGTGACAATGCTGATGAAATTATCGAAGTTGAAATTGGATCAAAAAAGTATAGGCCTTGACTATGCTTACCAATCCCCTTCAATTTGCCATTGCAAAGATCCTGAATTAAATAAAAATGAGGATAAGAAACAATAGAACAATGATTAGAGGCAGTAAATTTTGAAACAGAAAGTAAATTGTGTTTGAAATCTGGGGCATGTAAGACCTTAGATAGACGAATACCATTGTCTAGATCAATAAACCCAACATGCCTAATGTAAGTTTTAGTACCATTTGGTAAGCCTACAAGGTATTTAGAAGACTGTTCTATGGCAATAAGGGATGTTAGGACAGAATAATTTGATGTCATATGATCGGTTGCCCCTATGTCTATAATCCAGCTATTATTGTCAAAGTAAGAGAACAAAGTAGTAAATGTACCTGCAAGATTAGTAGTTGGTGGAGTCGTATTTTCCTTTCCTAATAATTAGAGGATCTGGTTGTTTTACTCAGTAGTTAACATTAGACCAACCAACGCAGCAAAATTTCCAACATCTGAAGCTTCATTCTTAGTAAGAACTTGATTAGCAGAAACTCTAGTTTTGCAATTGGACTTGCCGTTTGTGAGCTGATAATCGGCTAGATAGCTATTCAAATTATAGCAACTCTCTCATTTGTGGCCAAGTAAGTGACAGTAATCACATTCAATATAAGGCTTCTTGCCTTTATAGTTTTGCCCCTGATTCTGACCTTTTCCAGTGTTGTGAGCATAAAGTGTCATAGTTACGTCAGAATTGATGTTCATCCCAGTCAAGATTCTCTAACTCTCATCTTGATGAACCATAGAATATGCTTGTTTCATTGTTGGAAGAGGATTCATGAGCAAAATCTGGCTTCGAAACATGGAATATGATTTATTCAGTCCCATTAAAAATTGCATCAACTTTTGCTGGTTAAGATGTTCAAGATTTGCCTTTGCAGAAGCACTATCTAGAGCTGACAAGCTGATCAAAGAACCAAGTTCATCCCAAAACGATTTTAGCTTATTATAGTAGGTTGCTACTGTGTTTGTACCTTGTGTAAGGTTAACAATTTCACGATGGATACCAAACACTTTGGTTCCATTAACTTTGTGAAATTGCTCTTTTAAGTCTTGACACATCTAAGCAACGCTAGTTGAGTAAACAAGCCCACTGAATATCTCATTTGAGACAGAAATAAAAATCCAAGCAAGAACCAACGAATTGCACCTTTCCCATTGTGGAATTAATCGACAATGAATTGATGATTTTGTGCATGTTCCTTCAACAAACCCTAGCTTATTTTTTTTGCACATAAGGATATTGTCATTGCTCGACTCTAGATGCCATAATTCTGAGTAACTATGAGCTGCTCAGAGACCAAAATAGAACCTGGTGTGTCAGACAAGTGAACAAAGAGCAGTGAATTGGAATCAATTGAAGGAACGATTGATTCTTTAATTGAATTGGTCATGGCGATTGAACTGAAAATTTTAAATTTCGAGCTGAGAATGAAGAAATTGAAGAATTTTGAGCTTCTTTGAGCTTGACCAAAATGAAATTGAAGATTTTAACTGAGCAGANTGTCAAAGTAAGAGAACAAAGTAGTAAATGTACCTGCAAGATTAGTAGTTGGTGGAGTCGTATTTTCCTTTCCTAATAATTAGAGGATCTGGTTGTTTTACTCAGTAGTTAACATTAGACTAATCGCTCAGATAACAGGACTAGAAATTTGTGGGTCATCTCAATGGACCAGGCCACAGAATCACTCATCTAAGGACAGTACGGTGAGGGACAACCAACATTGAGACACCATACAAGTCACCAATCACATTAAAAAATATAATACTAACATGTGGTGGTAATCAAGTAAACACAGATAACTTATACCTCATTCGATCCGACACTGCTTGATGACGTCAATGCAGGGGCAAATACAGACAATGTCGACCAACTGGGTGTATGACGAACTCCAATTCTGGAAAAATGTCGAAACTTTCGCCTCTGCTTCAAGTAGTAATCAACCCTGCGACGTTGAGACAAATTATACTGACATCTGTGCATATGAGCGTAATTTGTTGTTACGATTAAAGAACGATGTCGAATCTACAGAAAAAATATAGCAGTTAGTGAAATCTGAAAAAAATATTTCTACTAATCCAATAATTTTTTACGCCAAAATTTATCCATTACATACAGAATGTTACATACAGAACATATGAAGCTGCACAATTTTTTGACGCTTGTGTTAAAAGGAAAAAAAAGTACTAACAATGACAAAATTAAAATAGAAATAAGTACAATTGCGTTGGGTGTCTTCACAGAAGCTAACTGGATTTGCAAAAGCCAACGGGTCTCTTTACAACAAATTTATAAACCTGAAAAAAAAAAAAAAATAGATTAAACTCATCTGCAAACTCCAGCACCAAACAAATTCACGCACACATCATACAGACAACACATTTACAAACCTGCAAAAAAAATAAAATTCAAAACAGTCATTTCCCTTCTCTGAATAAATTCACGCTACAACAGATTATAAATCTGCAACAAAAACAAAAAAAAAAACCAACAGATTAAACTCATTCGCAAACTCTAGCACCAAACAAATTCACACGCACATAATACAGACAACACATTTACAAACCTGCAAAAAAAATAAAATAATCCAAAACAGTCCTTTCTAGTTCACGTTGTTCCCTTCACGGAAATCAAATATTTTCGGTGACAGATTTGAGGGTTTGACGGGTTTGTGGCATAACGGTGAACAATCGGAGGGTTTGTGGCTTGACGGTGGGTATTCGTGGTGGTCTATCGATGGTTGCAGTGGGGCTATCACGATCGGATGGTTTGTGGCTTGACGGTGGGTATTCGTGGTGGTCTGTCTATGGTTGCAGTGGGGTTGTCATGATCAGATGGTTTGTGGCTTGACGTTGGGTATTCGTGGTGGTCCGTCAGTGGTTGCGATGAGGTTGTCATGATTGGATGGTTTATGGCTTGACGGTGGGTATTCGTGGTGGTCTGTCAGTGGTTGCGGTGGGGTTGTCACGATCGGATGGTTTGTGGCTTGACGGTGGGTATTCGTGGTGGTTCGTCGGTGGTTGCGGTGGGGTTGTCATGATCGGATGGTTTGTGGCTTGATGGTGGGTATTCGTGGTGGTTTGTTGGTGGTTGCGATGGGGTTGTCACGATCGGATGGTTTCTAGCTTGACGGTGACATATCTGAGTCGTCTGTCGGTGGTTACGGTGGGGTTGTCACAATCGGATGGTTTGTGGCTTGACAGTGACAGATCTGAGTCCTCCGTCAGTGGTTCCGATGGGGTTGTCATGATCCGATGGTTTGTGGCTTGACGGTGACAGATCTGAGTCGTCCATCGGTGGTTGCGGTGGGGTTGTCACGATCCTTTGGCTAATGTCTTTGTTTTGTATTTGTAGGTGGAAGATTATGTTAGAGAACAAGGATGGTTACTGAAATGGTGAAGCATTGAAGGTCGTAATGCAAAGTAACAATGGTGAAGCAATGAAGAAGCTGGTAATGCAAACTAAAATGGTGAAGTGAAGAAGTAGTGAAGAACCTGGTAATGCAAGCTGAAATGGTTATATGAAGAAGCAGTGAAGAACCTGGTAATACAAACTGAAATGGTGAAGTGAAGAAGCAGTGAAGAAGCTGGTAATGCAAACTGAAATTCTCAAGTGAAGAAGCTGGTAATGTAAACTGAAATNGGATAAATTAATGAATGGTTTGAAATTTTATACTACTTGCCACGGAAGTAGGCAGAAGGAAGTGGGAATGACAAATGGTGGGGTCACTTTACTCATTTAGTAAGCTGTTACTTTTCCCGATTTATTAAAATACATCAGTTTTAAGATCAGTATCAACTTGGAAAACAAATATACAAAGGAGAGGATCAGTAAAAACAGAGCGAAACTACAAAAAGCAGAAACTACTTCTCTGAGAAGGGGAGCCAGATACATTAATGAATGGTTTGAAATTTTAGACTACTTGCCATGGAAGTAGACAGAAGGAAGTGGGAATGACAGATGGTGGGAGTCACTTTACTCTTTTAGTTAGCTGTTACTTTTCATGATTTATCTTTATTAAAAAACAATGTTAATTACCTTGCCAACCATCACAAAAGGACAGAGAATAATTCATTTTCACACGTGTTTTGTATATCAAAAAGTGATGCTTTTTCCCTTTGCAGAGCAAATTCTTTCCTACAATTCCCACAAACCTAATTCTCACTGTGTTTCTAGAGTTTTCACATATATATCTGCAAGTGTAAAGCCCTAGATTTACTAGGTAAGTAGATACATATATCAATGTCGATTCAAATTCCAATATATTATGTTGTTAGAAATACCAGGTAATGTTAGGTGATAAATCCCCCTTTTTTTTTTTTTTTTTTTGGTGTTATACAGGGCTTTTCACATTTCATTTGCATGATTTTTTCTGGGCTTGGCTACTGGTTGAACCTCAACTACTACGAATGTTGTATGTTATAACTTCAAGCAGAGCCTAACTACTACAGATATGGTGAGGAGAAGCATTTACTGTGAAATTGTTTATAGTATATTTGTCTAAAATTTTAATGCTTCTGTATTTGCAATTCTTACTCCAGATGAAATCGGTGTTTGATATCAAGTCACATGAAGGCTAATATTTGAAATCATTGTTGCTTTAGGAACATATTTCGGACTAATGCTTAATGCTTCTTCACGAGTGATTCCTCAGGTGGAACCTCTGCCATTATCAAAATTTGATGCAATCAATGACTGTAATTGGCTATAGTCCGCAACTTTCTTTGCATGGCAGTCAGTCGCCAATGGATCCACACAGATATCCTCTCAGCAACCGTCGATTCACTGCTTGGGCAATGAGTTCTTGGAAGTGAGAAAAAAGCATCTTATGGGTAGTTCTCATTACAAATAGATAACTTCTGTTCAGACAATTAATTCTTGTTTCTCTATAATTCTTATTTCAGGTGGAATCTGAGTTACAATCAAATCACAGTTTGGTTTCTGATACAGGAAATTATTTTGCAACAAATACTTCTACCTTGGTAAGGAAGATCACGTGTCTTATGTAGTTTTTAGTATCAACTTATACATATGGTGCATGATAAACTTATTCTCGCTATTAATGCTTGTTGTCCATGATTCCTACTACAGGAAGAACCTCAACTACTCTCAAATCAAAATTTCTTTGATACGAGAAATTATGAATTTGCAGATAATACTTCTTCAATGGTGGGGATGCATGCATACCCTTATTAATGCTTCATGAACAAATTATATATTCTCACAATTAATATTAACGCTTGTTTGTCTATTCTTAATTCAGGAAGTAGAACCTCCACTACTATCAAATCACAATCTGTTTCATGATCCTTTTGCACCAATTACATCTTCAATGGTAAGGTTGTGCATGGCTTATGGTTGCTTTTAGTATCAACTTATGCATTCTGTCATCAAAAACCATATTCACACAAGTAATACTTGTTGGTCTATATATGATTCTTTACATTAGGTACAACCTCAACTACTATCAAATCACAATATGGAATTTGATCTAAGAAATCATTTTGTGCCAAATACTTCTTTAATGGTAAGGATAATTTTGTTTGGTATGAGCATATACATATATATGGTACATGAACATATTGTCACATATAAATCTAATGCTTGTTTGTATATGATTTTTACTTCAACCTCAGTTACTACCACATCAAAATTTGGATTCTTTAATGGTAAGGAAGAATATGCTGGTTGTTTTTAGTATTAATTTATAATTTTGCATGAAAAATATATTCACACAACTAATGCTTGTTTGTTTATATTTTTTACTTCAACAGGTGGGACATCAACTACTATCAAATCACAATATGGTTTTTGATCTAATGAATCATTATGCATTGTGTACTTCTTCAACGGTGAGGATGAACATGCTGGTTGTTCTTAGTAATTACAAGTTATATTTATGTATATAGGGTAAATGAAAAATATATTCACACAATTCATGTTAGTCTGGTTTTAATTTTTTCTTCGGCAAGTGGGACCTCAACTACTATCAAATGATCAAAATATGGTTTTTTATCCAATAAATCATTCTGCATCAATTACCTCTTTAACGGTGAGTATGCACGACTCGTAGTATTTTTTAAATCAACTTATATATGGATGTAGGTAGAATCTCAACTACTATCAAATCAGAATTTGGTTTTTGATCCAATGAATAATTCTGTACCATGTACTTCTTCAATGGTGAGTATGAACATGCTGGTTGTTTTTAGTAATAACAAGTTATATCTATTGTAAATGAAAAATATATTCACACAGTTCAAGTTTGTCCGTTTTCAAATTTTTTTTTTTCGGCAGGTGGGACCTCAACTACTATCAAATCAAAATATGGTTTTTGATCCAATAAATCATTATGCGCCAATTACCTCTTCAATGGTTAGTATGCACATGACTCATAGTAGCTTTTAAATCAACTTATATATGGATGTAGTGCATGAATGATAGATTCGCAATGGACTAATGCTTGTTTGTCAACGATGTTTTTCATTTACAGCAGGTAGAATCTCAACTACTGTCAAATCAGAATTTGGTTTCTGATTATTCAAGAAATTATTTATTGCCAAATACTTCTTCCATGGTATGAGGATGAACATGCTCCCTTATGATAGTTTTTAGTATTAACTTAATAAATATTTTCCATGACAAATGTATTTACACAACTAATATACTTGTTCATCTATATTCTTATTCCAGGTAGCACATGATCAGCTACTATCAAATCACAATTTCTTTTTTGATCCAAGAAATCATTTTGCGCCAAAATACTTGTTTAATGGTGAGGATAAGCATGTTGAGAAGGGAAGGTCAATGATATCTGGCCATTCATTGACAAATATATTGTATTAGTTGTATATTTGTTTAATTGCCTCTTATACTTAGACTACCTAGAATAGATTAGCATGATTGTAGGATATATTTGTTTAGTTGCCTTTTATACTTAGACTGCCTAGAATAGATTAGCATGATTGTAGGAAATCTCTTGTATAAAGCTACGTCTCCTAATTCAATAAAATTATTCAAAGGCAAATATTTTTTTTCTTCTTTACATGGTATCAGAGCAGAGAACAATACCCTAACTCTCTGCCTATGCCCCCTTTCTTTTGCCTTCTTTTTATCGCTGTTTCTCTTTTTCATGACAGAACAACAACCTTCGAATGGAGGCAAGCTTGATGCTGTCAATCTATATTTTCTTCACCATTCTGATCATCTAGGAATGGTGCTTGTTTCCAAGCCCCTCAATGAGGATAATTATTCGACATGGTGTAGAGCCATGGCAATTTCTTTGAACGCCAAATCTAAGTTAGGTTTCATAGACGGGACCACCACAATGCTGTCTGCCACAGCCAAACCAGACGACTATGCTTCGTGGAAAAAATGCAACGATATGATCCTCTCTTGGATTCTCAATTCACTTACGCTGGACCTTGCAGATAGTGTTATATTTTTTACCATCGCCCAGGAGGTATGGGAAGACCTTCAGGATCGTTTTTCTCAAAGCAATGCCCCTCGTATTTTTCAGATTGAAAGGGACATTGCTTGTCTTGCTCAAGATCAGATGACTGTTGCAGCTTATTACACAAGACTGAAAAAATTATGGGATGAACTAGGATCCTAGAATGACACCATTTGCTCTTGTGGGGCATACCATAAGAGACGCAGATTGATGCAATTTCTCATGGGACTCAATGAGTCATACAGTGCAATCCGAGGGAAAATTTTGTTTATGAATCCACTACCTGATGCTGCCAAGGCTTACTCTTCCATTGTACAAGAGGAGAAGCAGCAAAGCCTGGGGGTTGCACATGAGACGACAAAGAACTCAACCATGGTTGTTCAAAGGGCTGAACCGGTGGCTCTGGCTGTTTGACACGGACAAGGTTCTTCTTCTCGTTCCAACCCATCTAATCGAAAACCTTTGCATTGCTCTCTTATTGTGACCGTGACCATCATGTATGAGAAACATGTTGGAAGCTGAATGGGTACCCACTAGAACACCCTAAACATGCATCAAACAGGTCTAATAAAGGAAACACTCATTTCAAGCGCAACCATAGCCATCAATCTTCAGTCAACAATGTCAAGGAAAGTCCAACAATGCAAGAAGTGTCGTCGGTGACAAATGGGCTCTCTGATTTGCAAATCCAGAAAATCTTATCTATTATGTAGGGTAAAGGAACAACACAATCCGCCAATCCTAAAGCTAGTGCTGCTTCCTCAGGTTTGTTACAAACATTGTTGCGCCTCCATCAATTAATTATCGACAGTGGTGCCACAGACCATATTACTTCATCTCCAACTTTGCTTGTTAACAGCAGTAAGAACACCTTTTTGCCACCAGTTGCTACGCCAAGTGGAGAACAAGCTCTGATTACATCCATTCGGAATTTAACTTTGAATTCTGTTGTTACTTTAAAAAATGTGCTTGGTGTGCCATCTTTTAAGGTGGATTTAATGTCTGTGAGTTGAGTTACCAGAGATCTCAATTGTTTAGTAACCTTTTTTCCTCATTGGTGTATTTTGCAAGACTTGACAACGAGGACGACGATTGGTTTGGGTGAACAACGAGACGGACTTTATTACTTGGTTGCGTTAGCGTCAGAGAAGCCAAAACCTCAAACTCCATTCGCAGCAGCCACTTCTTGCCGTTCACCTAGTTCTCAGGTCACCTCCTCCACCTCTTTGTGGCATCGTCGATTAAGGCATTTGTCTTCCTCTAGATTAGATTTTATGGCAAAACATTTGTTAAATTTCCCTTTCAGTCTAATAATGCTTGTGATGTTTGTGCAATTGCAAAACAAAGTCGACTTCCATTCTCTGTTAGTTCAATTTCATATGTTAGACCTTTTGAATTAATTCATTGTGACATTTGAGGCCCTTATAAAATTGCCTCTCTTTCTGGTGTGAAATATTTTTTGACTATTGTGGATGATTATTCTAGATTCACATGGGTATTTTTTATGCACCACAAAAGTGAAACATAACATTTACTTGTCAATTTTTTCTCATTTGTCCAAACACAATTCCATGTTTCTATAGCTAGCATTTGGGTTGATAATGGTGGAGAATTCTTCTCTATGCGAGAATTTTTTAAACAAAAAGGGACCACTTACCAACATTCTTGTGTCTATACTCCTCAACAAAATGGGTTGTAGAGCGCAAGCATTGCCATATACTTGAGTCCACTAGAGTTTTCGTTTTCAAGCCTACCTTTCTTTACATTTTCGGGCAGAATGTGTTTCTACTGCTGTTCATATAATCAATCGTTTGCCCACACCACTCCTTTCTCGTAAACACCTTTTGAACGACTTTATGGTAAACTTCCTTCTTATTCACATATTCGAGTTTTTGGGTGCCTTGCCTATTCTACTGATGTGCATGTCCCCCATAAATTCGCTCCTCTAGCCAAACGATGTATTTTTCTCAGCTATCCAGTTGGTTAGAAAGCTTACAAGCTCTATGACCTTGCCACCCACAAAATGTTCACTAGCCGTGATGTTGTTTTTCATGAAACTATTTTTCCTTATGAGTTCATTCCATCCACTTCCTCAAATTCAGTCCATGTGATTCCTCTTTCTGTATCTGATCCTTCCCCACCAATCCAACAACCCTTTCCACCGGAACCAATTTCTCCTGCCCAACAACCCTCATTGCCAAATGCACCTACTAGTCCTCCTCCCGAACCCATTTTACGCCGCTCTCAAAGACCTTATCACCCTCCCATGGCTTTACGTGATTATGTCTGCAACCAAGTAACGTCTCTCAACCATTTGTCGCCTTTGTCATCAAGTCCACAAAAAGGTACGCGATATCCCATTTACAATTTTGTCTCTTATCATCATTACTCACCACAGCATTGCTCTTTTACTATTGCTGTCAGTCAAGATATTGAGCCTACATCTTTTACCGAAGCAGCTTCTCATTCACATTGGCAAGAAGCAATGCAATCTGAATTGGCTGCTTTAGAAGCTAACCACACTTGGTCTCTCACTTCTCTTCCTCTTGGTAAGAAGCCTATTGGTTGTCGTTGGGTTTATAAAATCAAACAACACTCGGATGGTACTATTGAGCATTTCAAAGCTCGTTTGGTTGCAAAAGGTTACACACAGCTGGAAGGTATAGATTACCATGACACTTTTTCTCCCACTGCTAAAATGATTACTATTCGTTGTTTATTGGCTTTAGCAGTTGCCCAAAATTGGTCTCTTCACCAACTTGATGTCAACAACACTTTTTCTTCATGGCGATCTCCATATAGAAATTTATATGTCTCCACCCCCTGGTCTTCGGTGACAGGGAGAGAATCTAGTGTATCACCTTCACAAGTCATTATATGGCTTAAAGCAAGCTTCCCGATAATGGTTTGCCAAGTTCTCTACAACTATCGAAGCTGCTGGCTTTGTTCAATCCAAAGAAGATTACTCATTATTCACATGCCGGAAAGGAAAATCTTTTACAGCTTTGTTGATATATGTTGACGACATTCTTATTACGGGTAATGATATCAATGCCATATTAGCTCTCAAGCAATTTCTACATAGTCATTTTCGGATTAAAGATTTGGGTGATTTGAAATATTTTCTGGGCATCAAAGTTTCTCGGTCGAAGAAAGGTATTTCCATCTCGCAACGAAAATATACTTTGGAAATTTTAAAAGATGGAGGATTTTTGGGTGCTAAACATGTGAACTTTCCCATGGAACAAAACATAAAGCTATCGGATTCAGGTGAATTGCTTAAAGATCCATCTCAGTATAGGCGACTTGTTGGACGCCTAATTTATTTGACTATTACCCGGTCGGATATCACCTATTCGGTCCATGTGTTAAGTAGATTCATTCATGCACCCCGGAGACCACACATGGAAGCCGCCTTGCGTGTATTGCGTTATTTGAAAAGCAGTCCAGGATAAGGTTTGTTTTTCCCTTCTCAAAATGATTTATCTTTGCGAGCTTTTTCTGATTCGGATTGGGCTGGTTGTCCAATATCTTGTAGATCCACTACGGGTTATTGTATTTTTCTAGGATCTTCTCTTATTTCCTGGAGGACAAAGAGGCAGAAAACCATATCTCTCTCCTCAGTAGAAGCCGAATATAGAGCCATGAGAGGTACATGCTGTGAATTATCCTGGCTACGCTCATTATTGAAAGATTTGAGAATATTGCATCCGAAGCCAGCATTGTTATATTGTGATAACACATCCGCCTTACATATAGCTACCAATCCCATTTTCCATGAAAGAACCAGACATATAGAGATGGATTGCCATTTTATTCGTGACAAAATACAAGATGGTTTAGTTGTAACCAAACATATTGCCTCAACAAATCAACTTGCGAATGTGTTCACCAAGCCA